GTGCCTCATGGGAAATAAGATGAAATATACCATAAAAAATGAAATTTGCTTGGTAAAACTAATGAAGGAAGGAAAGTGAAGGATTCCAGAATGTGGGAATAGTATGACTAGGCAGATTTCTTATTTTTTAAAGTGCAGGCTTACAATACACTATTTAAGATGGCACATCAGTGAAAGCATATTATTTAAATAAGTAATCATTGAAGTAACTAACAGTGTAATTATAAACAACTTATAAATGAATGATGGAGTAGAAGTGGGCTATCAATGTAAATGGGTTTATATTAGGGAGTCAGTAGGAAATATTCAAAAAACACAGGATTAAAAGTGCTGTGCTAAGTTACACTTAGACTCACCAGTAGGAAAAGATAGACTATAATGATTCTTGTTAAAAATATATATATATATATAATATGTAATATAATGTAATACAGCATAATACATACTATAATATATAATATAATGTGATATAGTATAATATTATACTATACATATACTATATATATACACACACACAGGGGTACACACTCAATGGAAAGCAAAGGAAATGTAGAAAATATGTTAACCTGTGGTGGTTCCATGGTGTAATGGTTAGCACTCTGGACTCTGAAAATATGTTAACATATATTTTTAAATACAATAATACAAAAATTAAGATGCGATAACTAAGACCATAACTGTTGCATCGGTATGTGTAAATAGGTTCATCTTACCAGTTAAAAGGAAAGACACCTGGGCTGGATCACAAAGTAAAATTCAGTCATAGCTATATAGAAGAATACATCAGAAAACAAAGAAACTCAAAAAGTTTACAGTAAAAAATATATATAGGCAAAGATATATGAAGAAAATTCAAAGAAAAAGAATGTAAAATTTGAAATAGTCAACAGGTGAGAACAAAAACAAACAAAACATTAAATGAGATAATTGAAAAAGTTATAATCTAAAATAAAGATTCAACATATTCATAATGTAAAGTCATAAAAGTAAAAAAAAATATCCGCATGATCTCAACACTATCAAACATGATGAACTAATTAAAATTTATAGAAAAGTAAATATAAAATTCTTTTCAACTGTACATGGTATATTCACAAAGACATACTATATAATACACTCAAAAAAACAAGTCTCATATTTACAAAGAATTCAAATCAAAAATAATATATTATTTAAATTAAAATTCAATAATATTAAAGTATCTAGAAAAACTCAAAATATTGGGAAATTTGCTAATATACTTCTAAAATATTCATGGGTCAAAGTAGAAATAACAAGAAACAATAGAAAAAAATATATATCTTAATGCTCACCTGAGAATATGCTTTTATTGATTTTAAAGAGGGAGAGAAACAGCAATATGAAAGAGAAACATCAACCAGTTGCCTCTGTACATACCCCAATGGGGGACTGAGACTTCAACCTAAGTCTGTACCCTGACTGGAATCAAACCCACAACCTTTTGGTGTATGGGGCAATGACCCAAACAACTGAGCTACATGGCCAGGGTGAAAACATTTTTAACTGAATGATACTACAAGCAAAACACATCATATCTGTGAGATGCAGCAAAACAGTGCTCAGAAGAAAATGTATAGCTTTCAATGATCTTATTAGAACAGTAGAAAGACCTAAAACCAATGCCTTTGGCTTCCAAATTAAGACGTTAAAAAAAAGGCAAAGTAAACCAAAAGTAAAGAGAAAAAAGGAAATAAGAACAGAATTGAAGAAATCAACTAAATAAAATTGAGATAATTGTGAAAATTACTAAAGCAAAAAGCATGTTTTGGTTAAAACCAACAAAATTGGTAAGTTAATCAACAGAAAAAAAAGAGAGAATGTAGACCACCAATATCAGGAAAGAAAATGATTCCATTTAATATCTGAGAGACACTAAAGGGATAATAGAATAGTAACAACTTTGTTTTCAAATATAACAACTTAAATAAACTTAAATTCCTTGACAAATACAATTAGCCAAAATTAACATGAAATCAATGAGAAAAATGATCAACCAATATTTAATTTATTAAAATATAACTATTATCAAAAACTTTTCCACAAGAAAATCTTAGGCCCAGAAGATCTTTCTTGTAAATTATATCAACAATTTTAAAAATTCACCACTCATATAGAAAATATTTTAGAAAATAAAAAGAGGAGAAAACACTTTCTAACTTGTTTTATGAAGTTGGCATAACTCAAATACCAAAACCTGGCCAAGACATAACAAAAGAATGAAAATAATAGACTAATATCCCTATAAACACAGACACAAAACTCCACAGTGAAATGTTGGCAAAATGAATCCATAAATGTACAAAAGTGATAATACTCCATGACTAAATGTGTTAATCTGAGGAAGGCAAGGCTGATTTAATATTTGAAAATCCTAATAAAAGTAGGATTTTTAAAAATTAGTCAAGCTGCTGGAAGAGTAAATACGCATAAGTAAACATAAATTCTTTAAAAAGAAGATAAGAGGAGAGTGACTCTAACAGATATTAAAACATAAATCAATGTTATAATAACTAAAGGCATATTGTACTTCAATAAATAGATAAAGGGGGAAATGAAGAGTACAGAAGTAGACATGAATATACATGGTACAGTATATATTATAAAGGGAAAATGTTGGAGTACTGAATAAATCGTGTTGATAAGTCTAGCCTGCCATTTGGATAAAAGAAAGGCTGGCTGTATAAGTTTTCCCTTACTTAAGGTAAATTCTAAATGAAAAGTAAATTTAACTATTTTTAAAAATAAAATTAAGCTTAAAATGAAATATTCTGCACTACTAAAAAGACTGAGGTTGACCTATATGTGATTATATAATAAAGTTTGCAAGGTAGATCATTGGGTAACATTGCTTAAGGAAGGACAATTTATGATAAATATACTCATTGGGTAAAATAATTTGTGATAATTTGTGTGTGTACAATACTTATAAATGTGTACTAACACACATATATCCATACAAAGACATTTTTAGTCTTATACGTTTATAGACTATTTCTTTAAAAAAAATAACCTGAAACTGCTATCACCTATGAAGATAATTCTGGAGAACTGAAAAACTGGAGTAGGAGAAATATTTCCTGAAAATAAACATTTTCTGTGATGTTTAAATATATGCTTATAATGTGCATATATTTTTGGAAAATTCTACCAGTTTAATAAGTTAGTGAACTAAATTAATTACTTACTTTTTGAATCCATGCAAAAAGTAAATAAAAATAGGTATTTGATGAACTCACATGACTCCACTCCGGGAAGACAAAACCCCAATTAAAAAATGGGCAAAAGACTTGAATAGATATTTCTCCAAGGAGGACATACAGAGGGCCCAGAGACAAATGAAAAGATGCTCAGTATCACTAACCATCAGAGAGACGCAAATTAAAACCACAATGAGATACCACTTCACACCCACTGGTCAGAATGGCCACCATAAACAAATCAACAAACAAGTGTTGGAGAGGATGTGGAGAAAAGGGAACCCTAGTGCACTGTTGGTGGGAATGCAGACTAGTGCAGCCACTGTGGAAAACACTGTGGAATTTCCTCAGAAAACTAAAAATGGAACTGCCTTTTGACCCAGCAATTCCATTTCTGGGATTACACCCTAAGAACCCTGAAACACCAATCAAAAAGAACCTATGTACCCCAATATTCATAGCAGCACAATTTACTATAGCCAATTGCTGGAAGCAACCTAAGGGCCCCTCAGCAAATGAGTGGATCAAAAAACTATGGTACATTTACACAATGGAATTCTACGCAGTAGAGAGAAAGAAGGAACTCCCACCCTTTGGGACAGCATGGATGAAACTGGAGAGCATTATGCTAAGTGAAATAAGCCAGGCGGTGAGGGACAAATAACATATGATCTCACCTTTAACTGGAACATAATCAACAAAAGAAAAAAGCAAACAAAATATAACCAGAGACATTGAAATTAAGAACAATCTAACAATAGCCAGAGGGGAGAGGGGAGAGGACAGTGAGGGGAAGGGTTTTCAGGAACTACTATAAAGGACACATGGACAAAACCAAGGGGGAGGGTGGAAGCAAGGGAAGGAGGTGGGATTGGCTGGTGTGAGGGGGAGTGGTGGGGTGGAAATGCAGACAACTATAATTGAACATCAATGAAGTAATTTTTTTAAAAAATAAGTCTTTGATATGGTATGTTTTATGTAAGGAAAACCAATAATGTGATCGAGCTCTACTTTTTTCACTCTCTTAGAAATATTTGTCAGTTCCTATTATGCACCAGTCCCAATATCAGGTGCTTAAAGAAAAGAAAATGTATCTGCCTTCAAGGAGCCCACAGTTTAATGGGAAGAGTTCACATTCAGAGGTCAGAGGAAGACTGCTGTCTTTCTGGCTTATTTCTAAAATGCCAGCTCTAAATATCTCTATCTGAGGCTAAAACAAGATCTTACTCATTTCAGTCATCCTCTGTAGACCTTACCTTGATAATTCACAACATCTCTTAGTGGAGTTGATGTCTCCTCCACTAAGCTTTCAGAGAAGATCGGAAGAGACTTCTTTTAAGAAGAGCTGTTAGTCATCATGGATTCTGTCCATGAGAATAATTTTAATTCCCAAAAGCATTATACATTTTCCTACCTCCATTCTTTTGGTTATGCTCTTCCTTCTACTTGGAATGTTCTTGAACTTTTGCTCTCCTTCTTTGGCTGATTCTCTACCCTAGAAATTGGTTGAGAACCTTTCCTACCATGCTCCCACAGTTCTTTCCACCTTACATTTAACCATTTACTTGTCAGGTTATCATAATAAAGTAAAAATTTACTCAAATATGTACTCCTATCTAACACAGAGTAAGAACTCAATGATTGATGAATTCAGCTATAGAGCTTCACAGTTCTCCTCTGGGTACTCCCAGCTTAAAGAACTGAAATGAACTTCATAGTTGTTTTCTCTCAATGTCCCGCCCCCACTGCACCACTCTCCCAAGTCTAAGACATCACACTCACTTGTCCAGGGACATCCCAGGGAAGGCAAACTTGCCCAGGCAGATGCGATAGATAGCACCCAGGGGAATTTGCTGCAACTGCACACAGCTGAGCATGATGAAGTCATATTTGCAGATCAAGAGAGTCTTGTTTGTGACCACCAAAATCCTCTCCTTCTCATTGTTCCAGTGGTCTATCCTGTAAGAATCATCACAGAGAAATATAGTTGATGGCATCGTCTTTCTGAGTTAAAGATAATGACATTTTCTGAAACATCTATAGTAACACAGAAGATGGTGAGGTTTGACCATTCAAGAAAAAGGAGAATTGAGGAATACCATCTCTTCTCTCAGTCTGGCTCCGTGACTATCCTGGTGGAAGACCACAGGGAAATGTTTTGTGGCCACGGAGCTCAGAGATGATTACCAATGATGGGATCTACTAGGGGAATAGCTAGTTTGTATTTATCATGTTGGGAGTCAACTGATTCATGCTCCTCCATGTCTTTCCAATTGTCCAGAAAACCTTCATGAAGTGCATCTTCTTCAAGGACACCAAAACCATCTCCGTGTTCTAACACAATCTGCACCACAAATTTTACCCACCAGACACCTGTTTATGCTAACCTCCAAATATCATATTGCTGATGAGATAAAATAGGGACTTGAACATAGGTCCACTGATCCCCAAGCCATCTCTATTTTAAGCTCATCCATCCTATCACCTCCTTGTGGTAGAAATACAGTGAAATAAGTGAAGTGGGGTCCTTTTGAGCCAAGGACAAACTAGACACTAGATAAGTCATTAATGAATTGTTTTGCTTCATACTTGAGAGCCTTCTAGTACATGCATGGAAAATTCTAAGTGTTCTCTCCAACAGAGAAAACAAGAAGGAATAAAAAAACAATGGCTTCTGGTTAAGAGAAACAGAGTATGGTCTTTAATCACTCTCACCCACAGCACATTTGCTGTCTGTTTACTATAGACTTTAGTATATAGCACTTTATGACTTTTATTAAAATTGTTTCAGTACATGCTTTGTCTTTCTTAAGAGACTAACCAGGGTAATTTGTGATTGACTTATATCTGAATCAATCTTCACAGAATCAATCTAATGTAAAGATAGTTGGGCACTCCACTCCCATCTGTGCACAGTAACCACAGTGCTATTCTGAAAATACAAAAGGAATAACATCACTCCTTCTTCACCTTATTAAATAGCCTCTTTTTGATCTTAGATCAAATCCAAGTTACCTAATTGGACTATATATCCTTGAATGGTCTGGCCTCTGCCAAGCATCATCTCATCGCAGGCTGGGAAAACCCATTGTCCAATGGTTCAAATGCCTCATCCAAAGATGGTTTGATAACTCCTATATAAACTTGGCCCCCTGTTACACTTTCTCAAAGTATCCTGATTATTTCCCTTTATACCACTAATCACCATTTGTAAGAAGGAATTGTATGTAAGATGTTTAGTAACAGGTATCATGTGGACACTGACAAATCAGAATGGACACCATAGTGCAGAGGGTAGAGCAATGACAGTAAGATGGACTGAGTGTGTATATATTTCCCATGAGGTCAGAGACTGTCTGTTGGGCTACTCACTCTATGCAGTTCCTATCAAATAACCTGCACTAAATAAATATCTGTAGAGTAAGTAAGTGAGTGACATTCACAATAATTTTGGAGATCTTTGGGCTGGGTGAGGATAGAGATCGAAACTTCCAGCTCTGTCACCTGTTTTTGGCTCATGTCCTTTATTCATGAAATGGAGATAAGACTAGAATTCATCTCCTTAGTTTTGGGAAAGGATCAAGAGATCTGATTCTCAATCAGTGTTATATAAATTAACTGTTATTATCACTAGGAGGGACCTAAGTCACTAAATAATTTCAGGTAATGCAAATATATGTCATTCCTCAGCCAATCTAAAGAAAAAAAATGAGGAGTTAAATCAATGGGAATAAAAATAAAAAGAGACACAAAGGAGAGAAAAAGGAAGAATGACAAAGAAAGAGCAATAAGCAGAAGAAGAAAGATGAAAAGTATGAGATCACTGATGGAGGTCCTATTACATGCTGGCTGTCATGTATGTGTGTATGACTATTAACTCTACATGTCCCCATGACCCTTTGAAGAAAATCATATCTAAAGCCACCACTTAGAGCTGTTTTTTGCAAATATCATCTCCAGTTCAATCAGTTGCCTCTTTGTTTAATATCCAAAACATATAAAACTCAACACCAAGCAAACAATCCAATTAAAAAATGGGAAGAGGATTGGAACAGATACCTCTCCCAAGAAAACATAAACTGGCCAACATATATATGAAAAGATGTTCAACCTTACTAGCTATTAAAGATGCAAATCAAAACTACAGTGAGCCACCACATCACAGCCAGAGAATGGCTACTATCAACAAGACAAGTAATAACAAGAGTTAGAGAAGTTGTAGAGAAAAGGGAATCCTCATTCACTACTGGTGAGAATGTAGACTGGTACAGCCACTGTGGAAAATAGTCTGACGGTTCCTCAAAAAATTAAAGAAAGAGTTACCATACAACCCAGCAATCCTCTCCTTGGTATCTACCAAAAAACCTCAAAAACATATTTGCAAAGATATATGCAGCCTTATTTTCATTGCAGCATTATTCACAGTGGCCAAGACATGGAGGCAACAAAAGTGTCCTTCGATAGAGGATTGGATAAAGATGTGGTCCATATATACAATGCAATACTACTCAGCTATGAGAAAAGAAAAAATACTGCCATTTGAGGCAACATGGATGGACTTTGAGAATATCATGCTAAGTGAAATGTTAGTCAGAAAAAGCTAAATGGCATATAATTTTACTCATATTTGGAATGTAAAATGGAAACTTGTGGACACAGACAGCAATGTGGTGGTTGCCAGAGAGAAAGAGGTAGGTGTGGTGGTGGAACGTGCCTAATATATGGTGAGGGAAGATGGTGTGACTTTAGGTGGTGGGCACACAGTGAAATATACAGATCTATGTCATAGAAATGTACCCCTGAAATCTTATATGATCCTATTAACCAATGTCACCCCATAAATTTAATAAAAATTATTTTACAAAATAAAACCACCACTTAGCTAGAACATATTAGTAGATTTAGTGGTGCAGAGTCTAAGAGGTCTGGTTTAAATCTTGGTTGAAAAATTTCCATCTACTTCAACAACACTGCAATACTTCACTGAGTGGAGGAGAGAATTCTTAATGATCTGCTTAACACTCTCCATCTTAGTCAGAAAGAAAAGGAGACTCTGAAATGTCTTACCAAATATCTACATAAGTTTCTCTAAATAGATTGCATCTACTTAGCGGCAAGTTATAAGCTGCTGCCTAATAAACCAGACTTGTTTTTAGCCTAAAAAAACCACAGCTTTTGGTTGACTGGTTTTATTGAAAATGTCAGCACTCCATAATGAGATTTATTTTAAAAGGTAAAGGATTGGGGGGGAGAGAATTCTTTTTAGGAACACAGAGTGCTCTGCTTTGACACAGTCTCTGCATAATTTACATTTCTGGAAATTCTGAATTCAAGTAAACATTCAGGCTTATAAATAGTTTGGGGCCACCATCTCTCGCTCCTAGGTGGTATGCGTATTTATTTAGATTTCAATCACACCCTTTTCCCCAAAGAACTCATGAAGAAAACATTACATTTCATATTCCTAACATTAATATGATTGAAGTGTGGTTGGTGATAATATCCAGAGCAAATATAATAGAAATAACATTAATGTATTGTGTTTATACCACTTGTGGAGGTTTACCAAGTCTGTGGTTATCAATGTTCTCATTTAATTCTCACAACAGCCCTCTGGACTAGATGCTGTTACCCTCATTTTAAAGACAATGAAACTAAGGTCCAGAGACCCTTAAAATGACTCACCCAATATTTTATACCTAGCAAGCAGTAATGCAGTAACCTTAAAGAGGTATTGAAATACCAAATTTAGCCATAGTGTTGGCTTCCTCCCCAGTGTTACCCACCTCTCAAATAGAGGGCCCTTCAGTATTATGTAAAAATGTGGCAAAATCCATCTCTGGAAGGAGCTGGTGTAATGATATGTATCAGTCCTAGAACTGTTCCCTCCAGGAGACTTCTCCCCAAGAATTGTCCTTTTCAAACCTCATCTTCGTCCAATGTTTTGTGCCTTGGGGAAGAACCCTCCTTCCATTCAGGTATGCAAGCTAGAGATGTGGGGTCACTCTGGACTCATCCCATTTCCTTATCTCATGTGCCAAGTCGCAGACATTTTCCTCTCAAAATATCTGTCTAAACCACACTCTCCTCTCCTCTGCCTTCAGCATCCTGATCCCGCCTCCCCTCATCTCCTGCCTGAACTGTTGCAGTCACCCTCTCTCTAGACTTGGGCTACCAGCCTCCCAGACCCAGTTCACCTGCACCTGCTCTTGCTCCCTTCCAACCTTTTCACCATACTGCAATGAGGTGGACCTTTTGAAAGACCTAATCTGCTCGTTACCTCCCCCACTCTGGCTTCAACACTTAAACAGCTGTACAAACACACTTCAATTGTTCCCCAGCATTCTTATGAAAAATGACAAAAATTCTTCCCCTGGTCTAAGAGGAATTGCAGTTAGGCTCTACCTACTTCTACATCCTCATTACAGGCCAAGTCCCTTCAGTTCGTTCTCCTTGATTTTCTTTCAGTTATTTGTATTCACCATGCCCACTCCTACTAATGGGCCTCTGAACATGCTGTTGCCTCTGCTAGCAATGTTGTTTCTCATCTCCTATACTTAGTTAACTGTTACAGTGGTGAATTCAATTACCACTTACTCAAGCATGTGTTCCCAGACCTCTGTGACTACTTCTCTTCTGATATACACTTTCCGAGCATCTCACATTTCTCCTTCATAGTATTGTACTTATCCCAGATGAAGTTTTAAAGTTATTTCTGTGGTTTTCTAAGTAATGTCCATCTCTTCTTCTATACTGTAAACTTCACAAAGACAGTGAGTTGTTAGCATTGTGTCCGCAACGTTGTAGGGGTCCAAAAATACTTCTTAAATGAATTAATAAGGATTGAACAACCCTTGTGTTTTGCAACCCAATAAGCCTTGGCTCATATGGAAATCCTCTCCTCAGGTTTACACACTAAAATACTACACCACCACCTCCATAAAATAGTGTGTTTTCAC